AGTTGCTGCATGGCCCAACTGGGGCTAGAGGCAGCAACATGCTCCATGATTCTGGCCAGACTGCAGCCCCAGCAGGACCTAGAGCTGCAAGGGGAAGGTAAGTGGCATTGGGTAAGAAGGGGGAGGCTGCAAAGGGGGTAGACAGCATGGGAAGAAGAGTGAAGGGGAGGCAATTGGAGGGGAGCATGTGCCTAGAGGTGCAGGCACCACAGGGAGGAAAGAAAAGAGGAGGGCAGGTAGCAAGGGTGCAAGTGGAGGGGCCAGACATCATGGGGTGTGCAGGTAATACTGGGGGGAGGAGGAGGGAAGAAGGGTAGGTGAGGAGGCAAGTGGTGGAGGGGACAGGTAGCAAGGGGCAGAGGTCAGGCCACTTAGTTCTTTTGTTGACTGCTATACCACTGCCTTCCTCACTGCTGTTCATTGCTTGCTTTTCTGCAGCAGTATGGGGGAGCAAATTTTGAAGACAACCCTCCAAAAATTAAATTCTAAACATGGAAAATTATAACAAATTATACATTTTCCATGTCTAGTATCTAATTATTTGGCAGTTGTCTTAAATTCAGTGCCATCTTAGATTTGTGTAGAAACAGTTAACTGAAAACAAAGCTCCTGAGTGAATGGTTGCCAACTGTACAGACTCATTTTAACCAAAAATGAAAGTCAAGAGCACTCAGAATGACCTCAAAATAGGTTCGCCTTTAAAAAAAAAAAAAAAAAAAAAAAAAATACAGCTACCAGAAGAACAGTCTTCTGACGCTGCTCTGTGTGGTTTAGTTGAAACCACAACCGTTTGGGTTCTCATGAATTAAAAGGAGGATGTGAGGACCAGTTGCATCAGCTTCTTTCTTCCTTTGAGACTGGAACAGTCTTAAAATTTAAATACAACTTATTTCATTTTTTACGAACTGCTGAGGACATCGTCTTGCATGCTTGGAATGAACACCTTGAATAGTATTCAGAATGTGAATATATGAGAGAGAGAACTATATAAAATATGTAAGAAAATTCTGTAGTTAAAATGTAAAGTCATTAAGGGAGTTATTTAAATACTCTGGTTCATGCAATTTTAAGAGCAGAAAACTCAACCCATAAAATATATCATCTTTTGACCTAGTGCTTGCATTCAGTAGAAAATTACACATGCAGGGCCCGATTTTGTAAACATCTTGCAGGTGTGGTTCATTTTCTTTGCATGGGAAGGCCTGTGGTCCTGTTAAGCCCCATTTCTTCTTGTGGTTCTGTGATACATTTTGATTAGTATTAGTGTACGTTTAGTACCTTGCACTAACTGCGGCTGTGCATCAGATGTTCTTTCACCTGTTCTGGTTTTAAGTATTTGACACTACCAGGACATGATCTTTTTTTTTTTTTTTTTCTTTTTTCTTTTTTCTTTCAGACTTGCACGTAACAATTGATTTCTCGGCCAAAATTCTCTTGTTCTTTGTAATCTTGAATTAAATTGTTACGTCATGACTGCATTGGTAACAATTTTTTTTTCTTTTTTTTAAAGGACCTTTCAAGAATTCTTTCAGTTAAAACAATTGCCAGAAATGTTTCTTTTGTCATGTCTTGCTAATACTATTATTAAAATTATCACTATTCTGTTTATTCGCTTTGTGTTTTTCAAACTACTTTTCTGTTCTGTGGAGATATTTGTTTCAAGAATGTAGGCTTTTAAGAGAGAAATTCACGTTGTATCCATTGGTATTTAAGCTTTTGTTCTCTTGAGAAGAAAACAAACATAATACAAATTGAAAAAAACAATAGCTATAAAAAATCAGAACTGTAAACTAGGAATGCTGATAAGTAAGTGAGTTGAACATGCTGCTTTGCCTGACTCTAGATTTTAAATTTGGTAATTCTACATTTGGTCCCTTTCTTCACCTTTCCAAACAAGTGAATCTTTTGCTTTGTTTTTGGAGTGGTAACTTGCTGCAACAACTCTGATCCTAATCTATTCATCATAAGAGGGCCCATGTACTTGCCATACTCTTTTTATTATCGTTTTTTAAAAAGATTTTAAATTGCTGCAGAATTGGTAAGAAGAATGGTTAAGAAGCTTCAGTTATGGCAAGAAGTAGATGAGAGCAGTACTCTCCAAGTAAGAGCCAAGTCACCTAAAGCAGGGTTTGGGAATTTATGGTGTGTGGGCCAAATCCATTAGATCGGGCCTGCAGAGCTGGAGCTTCAGCAGCAGGGGCTTTCTATGGCTGGTGGTGGTGGGGTAGGATGGAGTTTGTTCCACACCACAGCTGGGCAGTGGGGAGCATTAGTGGCAGCAGCTAGATCGTAGCATTGGCCTGCTCTGGACCCAAGCTGGGCAGTTCTGGCCCTCTATGAGGAAACATTGCTGACCTCTGCATATTTTATATGTTTAAAATATATATATATATATGCTGCAGTATATTGCAGTGTGCTTTAGCTGATTTTCTTGATTTTCTTTATAAGAGAAGAACCACCCCCTTGCTTCACTCTAAATGATGTAAATGATCAGATGTTCCTAATGCGAATGTTAATTCCAGCCTGATGCAGACCGAGATGAACATACTTCAGTGCACATCCTCAACATCTGACTTCCCAATGGTCACAGCTACTTTGAAACAAAATTTTCCTGAATATAGTAGTGAGATCATTCCTTAATACAGACAAACTACTTGTGTATGTCAAGTTTAAATGCAAATGTCTCAGAAAACACATTTCTTAACTCTGTTTTAAAAACATGATTTCATATTGAAGCTTTTTTAAAAAGTTCTTTTCTCTGTGATTGAGCGCTTTGAAAATTTATCTCCCAGAGATTAAAAAAATAAGTAATTACAACTATCTGGAATAGAACAGGTTTTCTTGTTGGTTTTTTTTCCTTCTAAATAAGTATCACAGTTTCCATTTTTCCCCTTACTTTCTTGGGTGATTTTTGCCTCATCAACATCTGGAAACTAAGGATTTTGGAAACCTTCAGATCTTTCTTGAAAGACTTTCATGAAACTGAGCTGGCATTTTCCTTTATAATGAATTGTTGAGACTGTAGGATGTGGCTGAAGGATTACATAACTAGCAACTAGGCTGGGCCATAGAAAGATTTCCTAGCAGTTGTTTAGGACTCTAGCAATATCTGCTACACAGAAACCTGTAGTTCTTTTCCTAATTGGAACTACAGTAATTGCATCAAAACCTGATGTTAAATTTATGTCTTCATCTTTGAGCTGAAGACCTTTTCCACTGAAAACAACTGGACTAAATGTTGGGATGGGTCACTCCTCATTCACTTCGTTTGCACTTGCTCTGCCTCTGGTTACAAATAATTAGCCGTCATTAATGGAAAAAAAGCTGTATATGTGATGGTAGAACAAGGGTCTCAACTGTACTAAAGTGATATCCTAGGGAAATTTTGCTTCCTATAATGAGGCACCTAAAATAAATGTATTAAAAGAAAAAAAATAAAGTGGACTTCTATTTTGCCTTCCCAATTCTGGATTAAAACAAGATCTCACCAGCTCAGTTGTTTCCATTTACCATGATCATATTTTCAGAGAAATTCTATCTAATTGTATTAAGAATGCATGTGTATGTGTGTGTCTCTCAGTTTCACACACTTTGTTCGTGGAAGTCAAAAAAAAAAAAGGCATTTTTGATGTCTGATGCATGTCTGTAGCAATCCATTTGGGACAAATCCAGCCCTTCTTGCAGACTTAGATGGTGGAGTATTGCTATGGGAAGTGGAGCTGAGATGATGATAATATGCATCTTTGACCATAAAGGAGGATTAATAAGAATCCAACATAAGATTCAGCTTCCTTGTTTTGTTTCAATTCCTCTCAGATCTGCTTAAGTCCTGATTCTGCTTCCTGTGCTGGAGGCTGAATGTGCATCGTAGTACAATGCAATGCGTTTTGTATGAGTTACAATGTTTTAAGAGCAAGTTTACTACTTTTCTTTCTTCCCTCCAGCTCCTGAAAACTCTAGAATTAAAGGCTGGGAACAGTCAGTATATCTGAGCTGTACAGCTTGGGCAATAGGATTTTACTTGGTGTAGTTCAATTATGCATCCTAACTAACCTCTTGAATAGTAGTATGAATGGAAAACAAGAGACCTGT